TAGTATTAGTATTAGTATTAGTATTAGTATTAGTATTAGTATTAGTATTAGTATTAGTATTAGTATTAGTATTAGTATTAGTATTAGTATTAGTATTAGTATTAGTATTAGTATTAGTATTAGTATTAGTATTAGTATTAGTATTAGTATTAGTAGTAGTAGTAGTAGTAGTAGTAGTAGTAGTAGTAGTAGTAGTAGTAGTAGTAGTAGTAGTAGTAGTAGTAGTAGTAGTAGTAGTAGTAGTAGTAGTAGTAGTAGTAGTAGTAGTAGTAGTAGTAGTAGTAGTAGTAGTAGTAGTAGTAGTAGTAGTAGTAGTAGTAGTAGTAGTAGTAGTAGTAGTAGTAGTAGTAGTAGTAGTAGTAGTAGTAGTAGTAGTAGTAGTAGTAGTAGTAGTAGTAGTAGTAGTAGTAGTAGTAGTAGTAGTAGTAGTAGTAGTAGTAGTAGTAGTAGTAGTAGTAGTAGTAGTAGTAGTAGTAGTAGTAGTAGTAGTAGTAGTAGTAGTAGTAGTAGTAGTAGTAGTAGTAGTAGTAGTAGTAGTAGTAGTAGTAGTAGTAGTAGTAGTAGTAGTAGTAGTAGTAGTAGTAGTAGTAGTAGTAGTAGTAGTAGTAGTAGTAGTAGTAGTAGTAGTAGTAGTAGTAGTAGTAGTAGTAGTAGTAGTAGTAGTAGTAGTAGTAGTAGTAGTAGTAGTAGTAGTAGTAGTAGTAGTAGTAGTAGTAGTAGTAGTAGTAGTAGTAGTAGTAGTAGTAGTAGTAGTAGTAGTAGTAGTAGTAGTAGTAGTAGTAGTAGTAGTAGTAGTAGTAGTAGTAGTAGTAGTAGTAGTAGTAGTAGTAGTAGTAGTAGTAGTAGTCCTCATACTCCGTTGTGCCCGCTAACACGGGCCTGTCGGGAATCCAGTAGTAGTAGTAGTAGTAGTAGTAGTAGTAGTAGTAGTAGTAGTAGTAGTGTTATTCCTCATACTCCGTTGTGCCCGCTAACACAGGCCTGTCGGGGATCCACTTGAAGATGCCAGCCACAGAGACTGGCAAAACGTTAGGAAGAACAACCTTCAGAATACGGCCAAAGAGCCTGAAAAACCCACAACAACCATTAGATCCCGGCTGTGAAAGCCTTCGTGAATACATTGTTCCTTCTAAGTCCCCCAGCCATTTCCATTGCTTGGGTGCAGTGCAGTTTGTTGCACCCCTCAACTAGACTGCTCCCCTTGGGTATGGTCAAAGCCCACCATGCCCCTTTTTAAGTAAGATGGGCAATCTGGTCCAATTCTGCATATGGAATGGGAAGAGGCACTATTGTATTATTTACATGAGGTAGCAAAAATGTTGTGGCCCTAGCTTGAATAAATCCCACTCTCCCTTCCCCATGTTCTGGACTGATAGTGTGGAGAAGAGCAAATGTTGCTTAGAATAGTAATAAACATTTTACTCATTTTGCTCTGTATATTCAGTGATGTAATAGAGCCAGGGCTCATGGCACTGAAGAGCTGGTGTGTTTTTGTTTAGTAGGGATGATGCCTTTATTTGTCACCACACCCTTTGCAGACTTCCTCATTCCCTTGAAATTCAGCTGCCATCCTCACAAGGGATATGGAGGAAGAGATTTTTCTGAGCAACACTATACTGCTACATGTTGTCCCAATAGAAAGGTATATGAAGATGGCAATCACATTAGATTGACAAAAGGCCTGATTCTGGTAGAGATGAAAACTAGACATGGGAGCATCCGTATTCATATACGAATATCCTCATGCAGCTGGACTTAATGAGGGTCCGGCCCCGGACCATCTACTCACATGTCCACTGGTGACAGCGGCCCCACTCATCCTTCCAATTGCATCCAGAGTGCCACTCTCTTCCTGCTCAGCTGTTCGATCCACAGCCGTGCAGGGAGACTCATCCTTCTTCCTCCTGCCTGCAGTAGCCAGCCACGTGGGAAGAGAGCGGTGCTCTGGGCGTGATTGGAAGGATGAGCAGAGCCACTGCCTCTGGATGCTTGAGTGGACAGTCTGGCCCCAGGAGCCAGACCCTTGTTAAGTCCAGCTGCATGGGGACATTCGTATATGGATACAAATACCCCCATCTCTAATGATAACTTCTACAATGGGTTTCATATAATGTATCAAGACAGCTGCATGTAGTTTTTGACTCCTCACTGATGTGGCTCTAAGGACCTATCACAATGAGTGGCGGCACTTCATAACTAACCATTGTGTGCATTTTAGGTTAGACACAGCTGGGAATCATCACTCTACCAGTTACTTGTAGGCATCTTTCTTTATTCATATCAGAGTGCTGCACAATTTGAAATTATGAATACCTATTCATAATATCTATGTATATGAAATATAGGTAAAATTTAAAACAAATTAATCGTTGCAAACCACCACACTATTTTTGAGCTGAAATAGACTACTTCAATAGCATTATCTCAGCTATTTGCTCAATCTTTTGTACATGTAGTAGGACATAAATTGCATGCATATAAGTGCTGCATTGATTGAATTTCTCCACAGTCACAGAAAATGTATCCTGTTTCCAGGTAGCCCCATTTTACTCGATTTTTATTTGACCTTCCTCTGTCACTTTGAAGTCTATTAAATGACTTTCAGATGGTCTAGCTAGAATCTTGTCCTGATGGGAGACATTCTTCAACATTCATCCGTTCAGCAAAGTGTATTGTTTTCCATAGATTTAGCCTAACCTCTTCTGGTTTAATACTCAGAGCCTGAGATGTGTACAGAAAACCTTTCCACAATGTTAGCTATTGTCTAGGGCAGCTATTTTCAACAGGGGCCCTGGCACATTTAAAGGGGGTCACAGACCAGAAACAATTCTTCACACACCACCTTATAAGGTTTGTTACATGACTTACATAATCCTGATTCAGCCTATATTTCTTGCACATTGTATTTATGGCTGTGGTTAAAAAAAAGTTGGGAGGACGGCTGGTCTGGGGAGGCTGGTGCCCATGAAGTAGATGGGTTTGGTACTATATAACTGGGGACGTAGGAGGAGCCTCCCTGAAGGATGCAGGTACACTCAGGCGTCTCCTGGGCAATAGCATGCAATCCTTCACTTCCAGAAGTGTTGCACACATAGGCACATCTGTCTTGTTTCTTCTCTATGTTGTAAGAGCCCTATCTTGGTGATTCCTTTCACTCCAGCTTGTTTCTTCAACCATAGCAATTCCATCCATGAAAAAATAGGTCAGCTCCCAAAGGACTATGGGATGATAATGATAAAACCATACTGGTATGTCAAGTATTTTGGTTCTCATGTGCGCAATTATGGCAAGCTCTGTCATTATAGAGGTGTTATTAAAACCAGTGTATGTGGCAGTCACAGAGCCCTGGCTTGCCCAGAACAATCATCATTCAAACAGGAAGAGAAAAGTGGGTGGTTTTTATTTTATTTTTTTGCTTCTAATGTTCTGTGGAACAGTTCCACTTGCATTTCTGCTTAACTGATAAATTCCGATTTCTATTTTTAGAATAGCTGAATAGCGAATCCCTGTGCATCTGGAAAGATGGAAGATTGTCTTGATAAAGGTAAGCTCTAGGCCATGTGGAGAATGTGCGGCTGTCCATATGTTGTCAGACAACATTGCCCATCAACCCAAGCCATAGTCCATAGTGAAGGATTACAGGAGTTCCAGTCTAAAGGACCAGCTGATCCTCATCCCAGTGCTTGCCAGGCAGACGCTTTCCCTTCCCCTACACCAGAACCTTTCTCCCATCAAAGTTCCAAATACATTATTTTCCAACAGCCTTGATTTTTCAGATGAAAGTAACATTCAGATTTGAATATGTGACTCAAAGAGACTGGTGTACCTTAATAGGTATAGCCCATGCTTTATATGTGAAAAGGGTTCAGACACAGCTGCTGACTTTGCCAGGTAGCGCTGGGAAAGTGACAGGCTAATTCTTGTGAATGATAAAACTGCTGTCATAAAAAAAAATCAAGTTACATTTTACTCATTTTGCTCTGTATATTCACTGATGTAGGAATAAAGCACGATATAAATTAGAGCTATAGAGCAACTGGCAGATAGACAGAATGATATAATAGAATCTAAGAATCTCTCTGTTTAGCTCAGCCATTGGCTTTCCAGGGGTAGGTATCTTTGGAGTGCAGATGCATCTTACCTGGAACATCTGGGAAAAGCAGGAGGAAAAGAGCCAGGAGAAGAAAAAGGCTCTTCATCTTGACCAAAGGGCAGTCAGGGATCCAAAAGCGAGAGAAGACAAAAGAGAAGAGGCACCGAGATCACATCTGAAATGGGGAGAACAATTATATCCCCATTTATATGATGACACTCAGAAGTGTAGCAACTATGCATCATTATCTATTTAGCATGCTACACTGCTGAGAGGTAGGATGGGAAATTTGCATAGCAACTACACTTCATGATTAAGATCTGCGGTGATTTAATTAAAGCCTTCCCTTTTGCTTCAATTAAAAAATTCCAGCTTGCAAACCTACTTATTAAGAAACCTGTGCTACATAAAAGGTACAGTGGGACTAGTTTGGAGAGGTCATCTGTGGACATCCAGATGCTTCATTATTGCAAATGCCACCAGTAACTAGCATTAGCCAGCATAACCAACAGTGAGGGATTAACGTGTAAACTGAAGACAATGAGGTCTTGTGGGAATCTTCTTCCACCATTATTATACGCCTGTGTTTTCCTTACAGACATTATAATAATCTCATTATTTAGAAGGAATGTAAATAGAGGAGTGTTCCTATCCTAGAGATTATCCCTGGAATTTAAATACAGGGTTTTACTCATGGGACATTTGTACTCTTCTACATTCATATCAAGCACAGATCATAATAGAAGCTCTCCTTACATCCAGACATTGCTTCCTTTAACTCAAGTCATATTACTGTTGGATGATCCAGTGATTTACTACGACGATGACGACGTGGTTTCCTGGACCCTTTCCCCCTTCCCCAAACCTCTCATTTTGTATATACCTTTTTATTTGGGGAATGGAATTCAGTCTGTGGCACTTTGCCTTCCCAATTCAAATCTTGCTTTAACTCTCCCCACGCACTGCCTCCAAAAAAAAAGGGTGTGTGTGTCCCATGGCATGATGAAGGAACAGCAGGATGTCAGGGAGCACCAAATATCCATCTGCCTTTGCTGTAAATTGGATGTCTCTTTTTGTTTCCATCACACCAGTGGGGCAGGGGGACTCATGCAGCCTGTGGATGTGACTCTTGGTAATTCAGGTACATTCAACAGGAACATTTCAGGACAAAGCGGAGCATAGTGGCAGAAATGCCCCATCTGGAAGACTGTCTACTTTTGAGTGCCCAATCCAGGATATACACATAACAAAGTAAAGCATGTTCTTGGGGCAGCAGTGGTTCCCAAACTTAGGTAACCCAAGCGTTATTGGAGCCTGTGGATGTGACTCTTGGTAATTCAGGTACATTCAACAGGAACATTTCAGGACAAAGCGGAGCATAGTGGCAGAAATGCCCCATCTGGAAGACTGTCTACTTTTGAGTGCCCAATCCAGGATATACACATAACAAAGTAAAGCATGTTCTTGGGGCAGCAGTGGTTCCCAAACTTAGGTAACCCAAGCGTTATTGGATTGCAAGTCCAGGATATACACATAACAAAGTAAAGCATTTTCTTGGGGCAACAGTGGTTCCCAAACTTAGGTAACAAAAGCGTTATTGGATTGCAAGTCCTAGAAGCCTTCACCACCAGCTATGCTGGCCAGAGTCCCTGTGGGTGGCAAGAACTCCTGGGCTACCTAAGGTTGAGAACCAATGCCCTAAGAACATGAAAGGCACATTTCTCTGAACGTAGGGCTTTGCCCTAAATCATCATCACACCCAACTGGTTGCTGTCTCTATCTTGAACTGGAATTTAAATACAACAATTGGATTAATGTTAATTACTTATCCAGGAAAGGACTGGCATAATTATGTATCACTCCTACACACACTTGGAACCAGGAACTAGATCACTAACTAGCCACCTGCCTCCATGTTGTTTTTAACTGGCTCTACAAAAACACGTGATGGCACTGCGGGCTAAACCGCAGAAGCCTGTGCTGCAGGGTCAGAAGACCAGCAGTCGTAAGATCGAATCCACGCGACTGAGTGAGCGCCCATCACTTGTCCCAGCTCCCGCCAACCTAGCAGTTCGCAAGCATGCAAATGCAAGTAGATAAATAGGGATCACCTCGGTTGGGAAGGTAACAGCATTCCGTGTCTAAGTCACACTGGCCATGTGACCACGGAAGGTTGTCTTTGGACAAAACGCTGGCTCTATGGCTTGGAAACGGGGATGAGCACCACCCCCTAGAGTCGAACACAACTGGACAAAAATTGTCAAGGGGAACCTTTACCTTTACCTTACAAAAAAAAAAACCCTGTGTATTTTTATTACTTTGTGTTATTTTTAGTTATTGGCTATTCTATTTTTAAAACTGAATCGCTTTGATTTATGCATCTGGTGACCTTTTTTCCTATCTCTTTTATTATTATTCATACATATAAAGAGCAAAGATCTCTTTTATTATTATTCATACATATAAACAGCAAAGTAAAGCAAAACAAAAAGGCACAAAAACAAAAAAAACAAAACATCCATACTACCTGGTGACCTTTTTTTCTATATCTCTTTTATTATTATTCATACATATAAAGAGCAAAGTAAAGCAAAACAAAAAGCCACAAAAACAATGAAAACAAAACATCCATACTACAAATATAGATCTGAGATTTTCGCCATCAGCTAGGTCATCTAATATCATCAACGGGTTCTTGTAAGCACTGGTTGGCCACGATCTTTTCCCCCCCTAATTTCCTGTCTCTTTCTGCGCCCAATTATACATCAGCTTCCAGCTTTCATTTACAAAATGTCTTGGTTGGTCCTGTAATGCCTCTGAAAGCATGTCTAGTTCTGCAGTATCCAATAGTTTCTTTGATAGCTCCTCCATCATTGGTATTTCTCCATTGCCACCCCATCCAGAATAATGATGCGAGACACAAGTGTTGGGTTAAACCAGGGCCACGCTTTATTAAACCGAACAAAAGAAGAGGGGCCTGCTGTAGTGCGGAACAAACATAACTGGGTCTCACCAGACCCTTTCCAATACAGGCAAATCCCTTGCCCTGAGCTTGCATGATCCCCTAGACAGTGCAACCCCGGCCGGCTTGGCACTGACCTCACCCGGGCCTCAAGCCCCCATTCCTTTGGCCCAGCGCATCCTCCTCCCCTCCACCTGCTGTAATCTCTCAATCCATAGCTCTGGGAGATTGGATGAGCTATAACCTTACTGTTCTCTCACCAGGACTCACCGATCAAACTTCCTTCCACACTACCTGCCATAGCACTACTCAGGAGGGTGCAGCAAAGAGGTTCCGCTCAATGAAGACTGCTTGCCAGCAGAACGGCCATTCTTCCATTTTTGGGCCCAGAGCAACCTAGCTGCTGTAAATATATACAGTAGAGTATATTTTATTTTTTTAATCAACAATCTCTGGCATTAGATTCAATAAAAACATGTTAGGTTTAAAGTTGCGTTTTTGCTGAACCATTTCTTGTGATCTTTCCCAAACCTGCAACCAAATATTTTTCCCTTTTCACATGTCCACCATACATGATAGTATGTTCCCAGGATTTTCCTGCATTTCCAACATGCATTACTGATCCCTTCTGACATTTTTGCCAATCTTACTGGTGTGAAATGCCATCTGTAAAACTTTTTAAGGATATTTTCTCTAAGATTAACTGGTTTAATCAACTTATTATTATCTTTCCACATTTTCATCCAGTCATGTATATCAATGTTATAACCAATGTTTTGTGCCCTTTTGACCATCACCTCCTTCACTCTCTCATCTTCCAAGTCATAGCCTAATAAACATGTATACTTATTTAATTATTATTTTCTCCTTTGTGGAAATCCATGGTTCATCCACCTGAACTTTCCTCTCAAAAAACCCCCATATTTTTATCCTTTTTATATCTTGATTCTAATTTCAACATTGACCACCAATCTTTTGATAGACCCAACCCCTCTAAATCTTGATTGTTTTTCAGAGTTTGACCTTTAGTTAGTAAGTTTTTATACATGAGTAAAGCTCCTTCCTAGCTTAACACTGCTAATGTAAAGGCCTCTATTGGAGCTATCCATATTGGAATTTTCTTGTAGGTTTGCACTTGAAATTTTTGCCGTATTAAATATAGAGCTTTTCTCACAATATGTTCTGAGAAATGTTTCTGTTCTTTAACTTTGCCATACTATATATACACATGCCAACCTATTTTTAGATCATGACCTTCCAGTTTCAACAGTCTTTGATTTTCTAGTGTTATCCATTCATTTATCCAAACCATAGCACATCCCTTGTAATGTAATCGCCAATTCGGCAGTCCTAGTCCTCCTCTCTCTTTTAAATCTTGTAGTGCTCCAAGTTTTAATCTTGGCTTTTTGGTCTTCCAGACAAATTTCGAGATCAGGGTGTCCAGGGCCTCAACGTATTTATAATTTAGTAATATTTGTAGATTTTGAAA